ACTTTGTTTTTCGCTTTTTTTTTGATTAGTTATCCAAATTTAGGTGTTGATAAAGATCCTCCATATACATATAAAGATAAAGTAGATAAATATGATGCATCAATAGAAGCTCAACGAGTAAAATTAAAATTTGAAAAATAGTTTCTTGAAAATCATTGTTTTTTTCATATTAGAGAGATTATACTCAGCATAAAGCAGCATTGAAAGCTGGTGTATTCAAATTAAATATGCATCCAAAAGAATATTTTGATCGTAATCCATTTCATGAGGATGGTAAAGGAGGTAAAGGTCGTGATGAAGAAAAACAACGTTCAAGTTCAGCACCAACTGATAAAAAAGTATTTAAATTTAGTTCACCAGGCAAATCGGTTAGTTAAATTTTATTTATTTTTTTTTTTTTTGCCTAAGAAAAAAAAAATCTCTATTCAATTATGTTTTTCTTCTAGCTTGGTGGAAATAAAGATGGTTGTTTTGATAAATTTCCTAAACGTAGTGAAAAAGATCCATATGTGATTGGTTCAATCTATTCGCAAGTTAAAAATGTAGTTAATAAACAAGGAAAAACATATTATCCAAATAAATTTCCTAAAACACGTCCTATGGACTCAATTATTAATAAACATGTTAATTTACATATTACACGTGAAAATTATAAACAAGCATCAACAAATTATTCAGGATTTCAAATGCCACCACCAAGACTATATGCTTCTGCTCATTAGAAAACGAGTGAATATCCGAGTGTCTTTCTTTTTTTTTTTTGTGCACTGCCTTTTTTTTATTTTATTTTTTTAAAATACATCAAAATGTCAAATATAGTTGATCATATTGTTATCACTCTTGATGAAACACGTGTTCAAATAAAATCTTCATTAGATGAATTGCAAACAAATGTCCAACAGTGAAGATGATATATGCATAAAAGTTTAACAATAATAGTCTATGTGTTTAAGACTATTTGACGGTTGAATAAAACTTATTATGAGTGTAAAGCATTTATGCCTTCATGAAACTTGAGTAGGGTCTTTAGAGATGTAATGTTCGCATTAGAATTACAGAAGGGGTAAGTCTGATCTCATTAACTCAACGATGGTAATAGTTAGTGACCTGCAGTTTTTCAACAATTGAATGAGGAGAATTCTGGACGTCCTTTAGTCTGATAACATATAAAACAAAATTATTCTAAAACTCATCATCCTCACAAAATATTCAATGGTATTCTTTTTTTTTACTCTTATTTTCAGATTAATCATAATTATATGAGAATGAAACACCATTTTCATACAGCTTATTGAGTGTTGTAAAAAAGATATCGAGATCTCTCTTCTTTCGATTGTTGAAAACTACATATCGCTACCTGTTGCCATTATCGAATTATTGAGATTACGTCCATATCTTTTTAACTTCGCATGAATATTAATTTCAAGGAAACAGCTCGTTATTTCGAAGAGATCTTATTGATTGACATTGTCTGCAAGTATCAATCTTTCGATCTAATTAGAGTGAGTTTACTTCTTACTATTTTTAAACCACTGACATATATACACTGGTGTTTCATCATTGAATATGTTTTCCTGTTTGGGTTCGATCCGATCTATTGGATATTTTGACTTAAAATAGCATTTAATAGACATCTGCACTGTCATAAAAAATAATACAGATGGGTTTAGACGGCCGTACGATTAGTATGCAAAATGGTGTGGGATGAAAAGAGATCATACATGATCTTCGTGTAAATTTGTTTTTTTATTGTAGTTTAGTGTTTATAAAACATTTTTTTAAATACGTCATTGAATCCAATGACGTAAAAGAAAATGCCTAACAGTAAAATATTAAATTTTTGTAAAATTTAGAACGACTTTCAGCACTTGTACAAGTTTGGAATCACTTTCTGAATTTCAATTCAAAATACTTTATTTGTACTTTCTTCGTTCAAAATATGCAAGATTACGAAGATAAAAAAAAAGTGAAATATCGTGCCAAAATAATACATATTTACTAAAGTAATTTTTTTGTAAGAAACAAATATATGCAGGATTTTCTATTATTAAAAATACATCTAAGGAAAACTAAAAGACTATTTATTTTTGACCATTTTTGTTTATTTTTTGCTGTTGCAAAACTGCTTCAATATCCTAAAAAAAAAAAAAAATTAAATCGAAAAATTATTTTTCTATATAATAGACAGTCGTACTTTACGAAGAATTTCTTTTAAATCATTATAAGCAACATCAAGTTTATCGTTTATTACAATATGATCATATACACCAGGTTCTTTACTGAATTCCATTGATTCTTTCGATTCTTTTAAACGATGTTGAATAGCATTTTCATCATCGGTTTTTCGTGCACGTAAACGTTTTTCAAGAATTTCATAACTTGGTGGACTTATATAAATAAATAATGGATGAAGATTTGTTTTTCGAATACTTTTAACACCTTGTTTATCAACATCAAGTACACATATATGACCTGTTTTAGCTACATCTTCAACAGCTTTTTTACTAAGCAACAAAAAGAAAAAAAATACATATACACAAATGTTGAGAACAAATACAGAATGAACCAAAAGTCAATTTACTAGGAACAAAAATTTCGATTAAGAATGCAATAATGAAGGTGATCACCTATGTAGCTATCTTAGGTAAAGTACTGCATTTATTTCAAGAAGATAGTTGAATTTTTTAACACATTACTAAACTGTTAGGGTTCTAATAAAAATTTTGAGAGGATTTTAGTTCCTATTGAGACTTGACTAAACTATGGAATTTTTATCCGAAACTTTAGGCATATAGAGAAGTCAACGAAACTAATTTCCATAAAGAAATTCAGAAGTTTTGAATAAAGTCTCTTCGAAATACGAAACTTTCAAGATATAGATCATTTTCCATAGATAGTCTATAATATATGTATTTTTTGACAGCCTAATAACTCGAAGAGGCTTTGTTCCGAACTTTTGAATTTTTTTTTATGAAAATCAGTCTAGTTGAATTCTCTATATGCACAAAGTTTTAGATTAAAATTCGAAAATATGAATTTTCCGAAAACTTGAGGCCTCTATAAAATAGACATACCAAAAATTCGATAGGTTAGTCAAATTACAATAGGAATTCAAGTCCTTTTACAATTTTTATTAGAACACAACACTATATGTGATATCTTTAGACAAAAAAAAATCGTTGGAATCGAAAAGAAACAGCTGAAGAGATTGACTTGCACACCGTCATCGTTGCATTCGTAATATGAATATCTCGGTCATATTCTGCCTATACAAGTAGATGACCTTTTTTTTATTAGCATTGGTCAAGCAATATTCATGATCTATAGTTTACAAGAAAAATAAAACATTATTATGAAATATTCTTATTGACCTTGGTAAAAAAATCAATAACAGTGAACAAACGATGGAAAATGATATTATAGCTTTTCAACAATGTCTTGTCATTTGCGGCTCACTTCTTAAATATATAGAAAAGCAGTTAATGGTTAAAAATTTTTTATTGAAACTAACGATCAAATTTCAATGTTTGTCTTAGAAATATTAGCTCTATACATTTCTGTACCAATGGTAAAAGAATCGGTTTATTTTATATTGTATTCTAGTAATGATATTCAATTTTTTTTTTCTATTCAGTGAAATGGCTTTTGTATCATTCTATATTCTTTTTATTAACCTTGTTCCATAGAGATGCGAGGAAAATTCTGTAGTTTCAAGAAATTCACCATTAGCAATCATTTTTTCCATTTGATTTCGTAGTACAAAATAATATTCTATTCATCCAATGAAAAGATTATGTAATAGAAAAAAATCTATTACATACCTCGACCATTTTGTTCACCAGGTCGAGGTGTTCGCGTAGTATCTAAATAAACAAACAATAAATAAATATAACTGTCAGATATGTCAATTAGACATACGAGAAACACTGAAAGCAAATGCTGTTGGATATTCTTGGAATAATTGATTTATTAATGTACTTTTGCCAGATCTAGTAAATAGATTTTATATTAATCGCCTTTCACTTTTGTTTATCATCATTTGAAGAGTAAAACACAATTTCTTTTTTTGTTAATATATAACAAAAACAAACTTTAAATTTTACCCGCTTGGGCCCGAAAAAACAATAGGACGAGGTTTGAATGAAGCTATCTTAGCGAAAGTACGAATTGATATTCTAAAGAGAAAAATATTCATAAAAAATTATTATTAACAAGAATGTTAATCACAAGGACAAAGTCATTTTACCGAAAACAAATGTTCATGGTAAAGCTCTTAAAGTAATGTCTTGTTGTTAATTTTTTAAATCAATTTAAACTAAAAAAAACCAACACGAATGAGTTCATAGAAATAAACTATAAGAATAGTTTATTTATTAAAAAAAAGAAAACAAGATTTTCGTGAATAGATTTTTACGTATCCCTGAGGATGAACGGAAAGAGGACTCTACATTCTATGACAGGTGTATAGTGATTCTAGCGGCACACTTGTTCGTTTCTCTATTCTTTGGTCATGTACACAATACACTCAGAAGAAAGAAAGAAAAGAGAAAGTGTAAACTGTTTGTTTTTTATAAATATAGTGTCTTTTATATTTAAAAAAAATGATAATTCATTTCTGTAATAGAAAATATTTACTTTTGTTTTACCCGCCAACGAAAATAGTACTTTAATCAAGAGTTTTATTAGTAAACTTAATCTATTTTGAAAATAAAGAAATGTTCAATACTACTTTCAAATACAAATTCTTCAATGGATGTATGTCATATTTATTTAATATGGACAAGTATCTTTCCTCCTAGTAGATCTCTGTCAACATAGTGGCTAGAAGTTTGAAAATACTGCATTAGACATGTAGATCAATGGCACCATTCGGATTTCGCTTCGTAATATTAAAAGACTGCCTATTAAAGTTTATCTTCGTTCTTATCAAATAAATGATTAGTTCTGAATATTTTAATAAGAAGAATATGAATATTCGTATGTCATATTCTTCTAGTATAATGGAACTTGCAGAAAGTAATATCAAGATATGAAGAAAATTTTTCAAAAAGCTTCAGATCAGTTTATTGAACTATCAGTAGACTATGGATCTTAAAAATACAATATACGGTTTTTTTGTATACTCATGTTGAAAGTATTAAAGAAAAAAATAGTATGAGTAAAAAAAATTTCAAACCTCTATTCCTCATGATGACTGAGATCCGAGGTACTGAAAACTTTTCTCTAGGACTATAAATTAGATTACCTTCTCTTGCAAAACAAGTATCAATCTTATTTCTTTATAGATAGGGCAGTTAGAATAAGGAGACACGCGTTCGATAAAACTTTATTTGATTCAGATGAACATTTTTTTGGAGATACTTCAGACTATATCTCGGAGGTATAAGCTCAAATCTGAGTGTTGATCTTCAGAATTCTATAAATCCAGATAGGAAAGTGCGACGATCTTTGATAGAAAAAATATTAATATGGATGAGATAATGTTTTATTCTATTACTTCATATCATAAGATCGCATTGTTTATATACAAAACACACATTTATATAAGCAACCAGGATAGAGAATAAAAAGAAGAGAGAACGACAGGTGAAGAGAAAGAATCAAGGAAATGACAAAATCGGAAGGACAAAGCATGTGGTAAGAATAAATGACAATGGAAGGTTAAAACGTCACCTATGAACAATCCATGCAAACAAGAAGTAATAGAAGATCATGAAACACCATAAACTCAGTTGGTAACATAAAAAAAAAGCCAAAAACCAAAATAGCCGATTTTACCTGTGTAGAATACGTCCAAAGATTTGTGGTAAAATTTTCAGTTCAATCGAACAAAGTTCGAAGAAGGTTATAAGCAGTCAGAATTGAAAAAACAATGGTGTTTTACATTATACTAAATAAAATAAAAGAATTTCAGTATGGTTATTAGAAAAAAATTTTAAATTCAATAACTTTAGAACAGTAAACTGTTTAAAGACAAAATAATATCTTGAGCTTGCTCTGACCTGTTTAATCTTAAGTTTTTCTTTTGCATTACATTTGAAATTGTAGATCCCATTTCTTCATCTAATAATAATAGTAATCGTGAAGTTAAATTCAATCCATCGAGATCAACTGTGAGTAAAAATTTTAAATAGTACAAATAATCGATATTTTATATGATATAGTTTAATAATGAACTCTATGAATTATGGCAATGTAATCAAACAAGTGAATTTATTCAAAAAATTAAATATAAATTAGTTAATAGTCTTCAAGAATTATTTCGAGATATATTTCCATGTATGTAAAAATAATATCAAAATAATTTTCATAATTCTAATGTATAAAATAGATGCTGGTTTATACATTATTGGATCAACAGTTAATGGATTTGGTCAATGTACTAGTGAACTTGATATTTGTTTAATGATATCACATGATGAAGTAATTAAAATGAAAGATTTCAATACGTTTATTATCTTTTATTAGTTAAGTGAATATGAATCAAGTTATATTTTACAAAAAATTTGTGATATATTTCAACATGGAGGTAAAATTCTAATTTATTTATAATTCTATTAATTAATTTTTTTTAATAAAGAATATTTTCGACATGTAAAATTAGTCAAAAAAACATTTCCAATACTTAGATTTTTTGATTTATTAACGTATGTTTTTATAAGAAAAATATTATTATTTTCTTATATAACTGTCTATTATGATATAGATCTATGACATGTAATATATATTTAAATGAAGCTGTTACTATACGAAATACATTTCTAATGAGATTTTATTCTGAATGTGATCATCGATTACCAATACTTATTAATATTATTAAGTTAATTTAAATAATTATTATTTTTCTTTTTCTTTTTTTTTTTCAAAATAAAATCTCATACTTAGATATTGGGCATCAAAATATAATCTTAAACAACGAATACATTATAGTTTTAATGGATATTGTCTTACATTAATGTGTATCTATTATTTACAAATAGCAATTTTACCTTCACCAATCGTACCTCGTTTTAATGAAATAATATCAATTAATAAATTTGATAAGAATATTGATATTCGTAAATTAAATTTATTTGATACAATTGATTTAGCAAAAATATGGATATCAATAAATGTTACTGTTGAAGTAGACGATTTATTTATTGGTTTTCTTAAATTTTATGCAATCGATTTTGAGTATATATAAGATGTTTATTATATAATTGTATAGAAAATTTTTTTTTTTTTCGTTGAAATTTAGTTTTCCAAATAATGTTATAAGTATACGAACTGGAAGAAAAATGAATAAACGAGAATTAATAAATGAAATTGATCGAAACAATCGATATGTTGTTATTGAAGGTGAGATTTGTAATTAATAAAAAAACATCAATTCGAGTTCATATTAATTTAATATCGTCATTCTTTTCTTATTTCTAAAGTAAAGTTTAACAAAATGTTATACTTGAGATAATCAATTATATATTAAAATGAAGTTCGATACAATTATTTTCATTTTAGGAAATACTATTTTGAAATAATGTTAAATCTACAAGAATGCCTTGATGAGACTTGCAAAAGTTTAAAGATTCAGCTCCAATATGCCTTCAAACTGATTTATGATCATTTACTGAATTTTTAATATGTACTCGACAACAGGACATCAAGTTTTGTTCATAGATAGGTCTAATGATTCTTACAGTATCCTGAAAATTTGTTCCTTTTGTTGAACAAGTGAATTTTCATCTGAGCACAATTTTAGTATCATACCTATGGCAAAGAATAATTTTTTTTTTTAAATATTGGCGAAATTTTACATCGAATTTTTCACTTTTGGTTTTGTAGATATGTATCTATAGCTGAGTCGAAAATTGAATAACATGATCATAATTCAGTTCCAAAGATACATAGAGACAAATTCTTGTAGGCCTTTTCTACTGTTACTAAGACTTTGTTGTGGGTCAAATATGAGGTCAAACCGCGAGTTTCACTTCGGGTCGTTTCTTCATTAATATACAACATATAGGTTAACTATTTTCGAGTTCTAAGTTCGTAGTTCATTCGAACCATATGTATTTCGTTTGGTTTTTTACTGCAATAAAACAAAGCTATTTTCTCTGTGACATTACATAAGACTCTTTTCTAAAAACTCACTTTGTAGCAGTAGAAATAATAAACAAAATTGAAAAATATTATGAAGTTAGTATATATACGTGGAATTTGAAAATAGTCAATTACGATAATCCTTAATGCGCAAGATACTAATCGAGCTGTTAGAAAAGAATGAAAAATTGAAGATTAGATATTGCTGATTACTTCTCCATTAGTTACAGTAACATACAATGGTTTCAAAAAATTTATCATACAGATTTAATTTCTATTTTTTTTTCATAATAGTAACTTGAATCCAAAAAAATGTTTCCAGAAAAGATTTCAATGAAATTAAATCTAATTGTTTTTAACTGAGCTTCAATAATTTTAAGAAAAATAGAAAGTGATTTTTGCTATTTTCTTTGAGAAAAAGAGGCATATATGCTTTTCTCAAATTTAATTGAGTTAATCTATCAATTTGTGTAATCAAAAATAAATTCTGAGTTTGCGATGTTGAAAAACTAGGTTTTGAGTTTTCTAGGGATCCTGAATTTATAGAAATACTGTGAGGATATTACTTATTGTTGGAAACAAATTTAAAGTAAATTTGTATGATCAATTTTTGAAGCTACGATACGTCTTTATGAATCTTATTCGTTTTCGCTTTAACAGATAATTCTGTATTTTTTTTTTTACTTTAAATAATCATAATTCATCAAGTTCAGAACGTATAGTTAAAGTGTGTGAATTGTTTCTCAGAAGAAAAAAAACAAAAATACAAAACAACCATGTAATTTTAATTTAGAACCATTAATCGGAACAAATGTCGCTTCAGGTATTTCAACTGATAAAATCTATCAAGAACTCATAGAAATATTTCGCACAACTTACAATAAAATATCATCAACACATCGTCTTATTTCTCTATAAATTTAATGACAAGTATTTATTTTATTGTTTTTTGTCTTGTTCTTAATTGTTTGTTTATACAATAAATAAAACGAAAGATACAGAAAGAAAAAAAACAGAAAGAATCTATATCATAATTAACCGGAGCATCCACGACATCCACAATGAACACATTCAACAACTTTGCCTTCTTCTAATTTTTCTTTTGGTACACGACAAATACATTTTTTATTAAAATTTGTATCACGTGGTTGAATACATCGAAGACAACAAAGATTTTCATAACCTTGTTTTTTCCATTGTGCTAAAAATAAAAGAGAAATAATATCTTTTCTAGAAATTAAATTATTATCTTACCAATTAAATTTTTATCACCAATTGAATGTTTTAAACAATAATCATATAATTCTTTACTTATTGTCTTACGTTTATAATAAAGATCATAGATATAACGTGATTTTTGATGATGAACTTTAAATATAGGCCATAATGTTTCAACTTTACGTTTACCTTCATGTGGTGTTAATTCAGCTTCACGCATTTTTGCTTCTAATTCATCCAATGTTGGTTCAATTAAATCCCTAAAATTATAGTTTTAAAATACAAAAAAAAAAAACAACTAATAATAATCATATTAAAATAAATACTTACCATCCATCAGGTGGTGGTTTTGAAGTTTTTCGTACTTTAACCATGAATAGATAATCTACAAGATAATTGTAACTTTAGTTTTATTTATTAATTTCTTGTTTTTCTGTTCTATTCATTACTCTCATGAAACAAAAACAAAACGAAAAAAAAAAAAAAAGATTCTTACATTCCGTCCTTTTTAAGCAAGCATACAATTGATAGATATTAAGAACAAGAAAAAAAACACACACACACAAAGAAGAAAAAGTATGATAATTATTAATATTGTTTAAAAGATTAAATTTCTTTTTAACTTTGTAGTTGACGTTTAGCTTTACGAATTCGACGTTGACCTGTCGATGAACTATCACTACTCATAACACTGTAAGGACTAAAATAGAAAACAACAATTAAAACATGATATTAAGAAGTTTTGATGAGGATACGACGTAGAAGGTTTCTCAACTGATTAATTGCTATAGAGTAATGTCTTGCAACAGGGTTCGGTACCCAGTCTGGTAACTAATAAGATCTCTACATTTCAAAATATTTTTACTTATTCAAACTACTAATTTTGGCACCGACAATGAGTTTCATAACAGTTCAAGCTCTTGACTTATTGTTGCATTTTTATGATATTGTTTAAGTTAAGGTTATGATTTTCCCTTTAGAAAAATTCATTTCCAATTTTTGACTCATTTTCAAGTATTTATTAAAAAGTCATATAATGAAATTTCAATTTGAAGTTGTGCTCATAGATAGATTCGATCACTCATAGAATATTTTGAAAGTTTTAGCCGTAAATAAATTTGATATTCTAATAAATGAATCTTCTTTTCGACTGAAACTTTCAGAATATTTTTTCAAGCATCATTTAAATGACCTATGAACAAAACTTCAGATCGAAATTCTGTTATTTGATTTTTCGTTAGATACCTAAAATTGAGTTGGAAATTCAATAAAATGATCATTAATCAACTTCAAAAACACATCGAGATGAACTTTTTAGATTTTTGTTAGTCTCACTAAGAAAACTAGCATATACATGAAATCCACGGTTTCGTCTCAAAAACGATTAATCAGTTGGAGATCTTTCTTCATCAGATGATTAGTATTTTACTTTAGAGTTTCAACTGTAGAAGCAGATATAGTTGATATAGATGTTGTTCCAGTTAACGGAAACTGAGTAGGGTTTGTAGAAGCGGTTGGTGCTACACCAAAATTAAATGAACTCGATGATCCACTAGACGATAATGCAGATGGAGCAGCACCGAATGTTGATACTGTTGTTGATGACGATGAAGGTATAAATGGAAAGCCACCAGTAGAAAATGCTGATGTTGTTGGAGTTTGAATAGGATTTGTTGTTGTATTTGATGAAGATCCAAAACCAAACATAACTGGTGGATTATTTGATGAATTTAAAGATTTATCAGTTGATGCTTGAGTTGTTCCAAATGGAGGTGTACCAAAAAAGGGTGCAGTATTTGAACTAACTGATGAAGTAGTAGTTGATGGTGCAAATAAATTTGGAGAACTAGCAGTAGAAGTAAATCCAAATGGAGGATTATTTGGTGTTGTTGTAGAACTAGTTCCAAAATTAAAACCACCGGTACCAAATTGAAATGGCGCTGATGTCGTACTTGTGGATGTAAAATTGTTCGACAGGGGAAAAGTGCTTGTTGTTGATGATGTCGAAAATAAATTTGTCGTCGTAGAAGCTGGTGTTATTGTTGAAGAACCAAATAAAATTGGATTTGTTGCCGAAAATGGAGTTGACGTAGTGAGTTCTTTTGTAAGCGAAGTAGACTGATCGGATGAAATATGAATAGCTGGTGCTACTGTTGCCGTTGAAGTACTACCAAATGGTCCAAAAATTGGTAGTATAGATGATGATGATGATGGTGACATTGGTATACTTGATGTTGCTGTAGCAATTGAAGGAGCAGTAGAACTTGTAACTGGTGCAGTAAAACTTGTTGATGATACTGAAGAAAAAGGCTGCAATATTGTACCAAATTGAATAGGATTACTTGTATTACTAGCTAATGATTGATTGAATGGTATTGAGCCTAATGAAGGCGTAGTACTAGTAATTGAAAAACTTTCCTTAGTTGTTGCTGTACCAAATACAGATAGTGGGTTATTAGGCACAGAATTTTCTTTAGTTACTACGACTGGTGATATAACTGGCGTTGTGCCAAATGTGGAACGAAAAGCATCGGTTGAAATAGGATTTTCTTGAGTTGTTGCTGTTGTACCAAATTGCAGAGTAGTAGTTATTGGAGCCGCAGTGATCACTGGATTTTCTGTAGTTGTTGTGGCCGCTGTACCAAATCCAAGAGTAGTAGTTATTGGAGCAGGAGTAATCACTGGATTTTCTTTAGTTGTTGTTGT